TCGTGAAGTAGTGGACATCGGTGCAATGAGCAACGAGCAAGTCGACATGTTGGGAAAATTGGGAATCACCACACTGCCAAAAGTGCCAAAGCTTCTACAGACCTTGCATCCTAAAGAAGGTTATGTTTTGCACTACCTTACCCTAAAATTGTACCATGAGCTGGGAATGAAAATAACTCACCTCGGAAAAGTTCTTCAGTTCCGCCAAAGTCACTGGATGGCACCCTTTGTCGACCTCAACACCCGCCTACGAAAAGCCGCGGTAAATAAATTCCAGGAGAACTTCTACAAGCTAATTGTTAATTCAGCTTTCGGTAAGACAATGGAGTCTAAGTTAGGAAGAAAGAAGCTGGAGATTGTAAGGAATGAGAGAGAACTTTTACAAAAAACAGCTCTGAGCACAATGAAAAGCTTTCAAATCATTGACGATCAATTAGCCACAATTAGCTTTTCAGTAACAAAAATATTGTGGGATAAACCTATGATAGTTGGTGCGACCATCCTAGACCTCGCCAAGCGTTTAATGTTTCAGTTTCATTATCAAAAAATGAAACCAAATCTAAACTTGGAACTCCTATACTCCGACACGGATAGTTTTATTTACGCTATAAAAACTGATGACGTTTACCGAGACTTGGAGAAAATAAAAGCTGATTTCGACTTTTCAAATTACGATAAGGACCATTTCTTGTTCGAGGATACCAACAAGAAAGTTGTGCTGAAGTTCAAAGACGAGACTGGTGGGAAGCCGATCAGAGAATTCATCGCCCTAAAACCGAAACTATATTCGGTCGTCCTTAATGGTAAATAAAATTTAAGCCACCCTTCCACTCCCCATTCCTACCTTTTACAGAACAAAAATACCACCACCAACCTACCTACACCCCTTAATTTGTTGCATTAAACTATGGGCATTTAGCTGATTTAGGCAACATTATACAATGTTGCCTAAACGTTGATTTATCTGACAACATATTCCCTCTTTTTTCCTCTTTTTTAATCATAATTTAGAGTCTTCTGCTCTTTTTTGGTAAAATGAATCAAATTTTGTTCGGTATAAATTAAGTTGCTGAAGTGAAATGAAGCTATCCCCAACGTTGTAGAAAAGAATAATAATTTTGCTTCTGTTTAGAAGGCACTCAAAAATTGAGTGCCAAAGGAATTAAACGGAGTGCACAGAGAGAACTGGTCCACCAAACCTTCAGGGACACATTATTCACTGGAAAAACAATGAGAGTGTACAACTATAATATAGTTTCGAAAGGTCACACCAATATGACAGTGAAACAAAACAAACTTGCATTATCACCATTCGACTCAAAACGTTTTCTACTTTTCGACGGAATTTCGACAGTGCCCTTTGGCCATAAAGCCGCTGAAGAAAATGCTTTTCTAGAAGACATTTACATGGACACCGAGTGGGCCAACTCATACAATGAAACTGATAACAGTTCTCCCGATTTTACACTTCCGGATTGGGGATTTTTACAGCGGCCCTACTCAGAAGCAGAGCTGCAAGAAGAAGAAGAAGCTTCTAGTAGCCGAGTCCGTGAACGTCCCCCTATAAAAAACCCATTTATTTTATCTGAAGCTTCAGAAGAACGACCATCTAAAAAACAGCGCAAAGAAAACCAAAACAATAAACATTAAAGTCTGAAACATATATTTTCAGATGATTTTTACTGTTCGTCCTTTTTATACTTCGACTTGTATATGTTTTGGTTTTTACCAATTTACAACTAATAAAATACTCGTATTGAGCTCAATCACTGTTTTAACATAAATAGCTTCAGGCAAATAAACTAGTAGACGCAAACCAAGTGTTAATTCAAACAAATGTGTGAAATCCTTAGGCTTGTTTTGAATAACAAACTTTAATAGCATGACAAATCTTTGACGAAAAGAAAGAAAGCCAGGAAATGATATCCAGATGAAACTAGGACGAAAAAAGAAAAGTTCAGGAATTAGGACGATTAATTTTAATTATCGCGGGAAAAGGGACCGCTTTCAAAGGAATTAGAAGGAATTATTGTATCGCGTCCCGGTTGTTGAGCTCAGCTTAACAAGATCCTAAGGAGGGGGTCTTTTACTTTAGGGGTGGGAACTTGCGATCATTTACAAAATCCTAGGATAGGGGTCCTCCAAAAAATTAAGGACCCCTTTCCTAGGATTTTGCTTTACGTGAGGACCCCCCCTTAGGAAGGACCCCCCCCCCCCCCTTAGGATCCGGGACACGATACAATACTACTGCGGAAGTGTTTGAAATTCGTTTATGGGTTGAATTGGATTTGATGTTTACTTGTCAAAATCATTTCCCAGCCGATTTCAAACAAACTGCGCGCTACAATGAGTTCATGCTAATTAATGTATGAATATTTGTTTTATTACCATAACGATAAGCAAAGGTATTGCTATGGGGTACACGACTTTTTTTAACGTACATAACTGTGTTCACAGCAGTGTCAATTCTAGTAGAAATGGTAAATTTTACCCTCAATAGATGACATGCTCAATTTTATTTTGAAAAATTAGATAAAACTGCTATCATTTACGTTGTAATTAGGTCGAGTCCGTTTCATGCTCAAATTATTTTTTCAAACATATATTTTTTGAAAAAATGATGAATTTTGTTCGAGTTCCTGGTTTTCGTCCTAGTTTGCGTGGGTTCTTCTTCCGTTTGATAAATGTCATTTTTTATCTGGCACGGTTTTTATCGGCTGACTTCCAAAGCATGGGTTATACTATAACTTAAATTTTTGGGCTTATAGCATGGGTTTTTACTAAAACTGAAATTTCTGTAATTTATAAATTTATCAAGTCTGATATTCAATAGTTTGATTTGTTTTTTTTTTAATTTGATTGAACGGTTTTGGCATAAGATATCGGTTTTGAAAAATTATATTGCGTAGTTCGAGGGCAAAATATATGCTAATGATTCTATGTGTTTGAGTTCGGGTGTGTCGTCAAATCTTTATAGCTCAGTGTATCAGTTTTGTGTTTTTATTTCCGCCTTTTCTTGCTTGGCTTAAAAGGTGTCGGCTGTTTTTATATTGACTGAGGCCTTTTGTGGAGTCTTTTGAAAGCTATAAGGTTTCATTTAAATCATTTTTTATTAGCAACGTGTCTGCTTAAGAATCGCCGGCTTTGTAACTGCTTTGTTTGTTCTGTTTTGATTCTAATTTGACTTTCAGTTGTCTTATTTCTTAGTGAGTTTTTTCCGAAAAGGATTTCATTTCAGGATAAAATTAAGACAAGTGTTATTGATCAATGTTTTTTCGATTCTTTCTTATAGAAGTACAAGATTTCTGTTGCTTAATTTGCCAAGCTATGTATCTGTTGTATTGCATGTGATGCGAAGCCTTGGTGCACTTCTGTTTGTAAGTTTTATAACGGTGCATTTAATTGTGTTCGATGATATCGTTAGTTTTTTTTTTCAGCTATTTTTGAGAAAAAAAGTGTTTTCTTATTTATCCATTTGTCGGTCCATCTGCGTATTCATTCATTTTCCATCGCAAGTGGTCCGAAGCTCTTTTTTTGCCTCTATTTAGAAGAGAGAGATTTGAAAGACCGATCACGTTGAAGATTAATTTTTGAGCTCTTTGCTTATCTGAAAGTCAAATTTTGATGAGGTTACCTTGACTTTAGCGAGAGCCAATCAGGAAAAAGTAAGACGGTTCTCAATTTTAAATTTTCTTGGTTTTCTGGTTTTTGAGAGTCGATGAATGTAGTTCAGATTCTTGTATATGTTATGTCGTGATTACTTTGTTTTTCAGGAATAGTCTTAAATTTTGTTCACGCTCAAATTTTACTTTTCGCGGTTTGATTTTTGAATTTTATTCAAGTTTAGTTCTTTTTTTGTTGATTTGAAAGCAAACGCCACTATCAAACAGCGAAAGTTTTAAGGTCTCGTAAATTGTGATTGATTTCGAAATTGGGTTAATTTCACCAAAAAACTCAATCATAGAAATTCTAGAAATTCAAAGAGCGTTAAGACCAGCCTTCGAAACTTGAAACAAGTCACTATTTTTTCTGTTTTCTTGCATGCATTGACTCTTTTCCAAGTGTCTGTTGGCTATGTTTTACGTTGAATTTCGAATTTTTGTTTTATTGTATTCGTTGACTCTTTTCCAACTGTGTCTGTTGGCTGTGTTTTTCTCTTTATTCGGCTCCTGTTGTTTTTTTTCCTGCGGTTCTCGACTCTTTCGCAACTGTCGGTTGGCTATGTTTCTGTATTCTAATTAAAACGGTTCGGCTTTTTTGTTTGATGAGCTAAAAAAAAATTTGGTGATATATACAAAAATTGGCAATTTTGAGAACTATTTGAGTAGTGCTAAAGTATTAAATTTGAGATTTATAATGCATAATTTATCTTTTTTTTCAATCAGTTTTACAAGCTTATAAGATATTTGTCGTAACTACGTTACCTTCCAGCTGAATTTTTTTTCCAAATATAAATTTTACACTTCTTTTGCCAAAAAATTTGTTTTGAAATAGATTGTAAATACTGTTCGAACCTGAATCTGCCACCTGTGTAATTTTGTTTTAATGAAAGCAATTTTTTTTCGGCTCAATGTTTGTCTGCTCAAGAGTTTCGTCGTTTTTACTGCGTTGTAAGTTTTAATTTGGTGCTAATTTTGGTATTGTTTAGTCTAGTTTTTTGAAAGTAACTTTAAGACAAAATCAATACTAAGTTTGGCAAAAAAATTCTAAGTCTTCATCTTTTTCTGTCGCGTAGTTTGTGTTTGTGTTGTATCACAAGTGGCACGAAGCTTTGATTCGCCTCTGTTTTGATCTCGATTTTTGGGTCGCCAAAATTTTTCAGCATTTCATTTTTTTGAGCTTTGTTTCGATTGGTTCATCCTACAAACTTTTTTTCCATGCCTTACCTTGAAATATCAGCTTCTCTGAAGCAATAGTTTCAGCGTTGCATGCTCTGTCTAAATAGCCGACCGAGTTTGAGAGAGGTTCTTTTTGATGGTCATTTCTGTCTTTCTGTTTAGACGATCATTGCGTACAAAGAGGGAGACCTGATCACGGCCAACCGGGACAGACCTCTTTCGGAGGAGAAGTTCAACCTCATTTGCAAACTGGTGGCCATCGATGTCAAGCTGTCTGCCCCTGATTTGGAAATCAAGCAAATCGAACCGTAAGATTCTCAAACTAAAGAAAAACATGAAAGCCCACCACATTTTTTGCAATGTATAGATGTGAATTTGAAATCTACATTCATGTTTATACTATCTGCAGATTTTTAAGCTCAATTTTGACAATGAAAAGAATTCTGAAAAGAATATTTTTTTTCGGCTTCCTTAAGCTCATTAATAATTTCAATTTAGCCGATTGGCTAAGTTTCCTGCGTCTAGCTAGTTTCCCTGTTATTATGAGTAAGGAACGTAGTGAAGACTCTTGTATAGGTCTTGCTGATTTTTTTTCAGTAAAAGTCTTAAAAGCCTCTAATAACTACAGATGTGCATTCATACATATTGATGCATTTATGAATGCACTTAGGTATATTTGCAGGGGCGGATCTAGGATTTTCTTGAGGGGGGGGGGGGCAGATTTTAAATAAATGTTTGAAAATTTTGTCGACCTTTTTTTAGGTCGACGATATTATTTTTCCGAGCTCTCCCAAATCACTAAAAAGACCCTGTTTTGGTCAAATTTTCTGCACCGCAGAAACAATTTGAAAAACAGGCCAAAAAAGCGTTTCTAGGCAGTTTTTGGAAAATTTTGACAAAAAAAATCGCGTTTTTGGCGTGCACTCCCCCCTCAAAATTGGTATATTTGGCGCCAAAGGCGCCTTTAGAAAATTTTTGGGGTCCGTCGCCAAATATGGATATCTAAAAATAGTACAAAGGGGTACCCTTTGGTCCGCCCCCTCATAAATCCGCCGCTTTATATATGCACTTTTTGAGTTCAATTGAAATTCATCTGCCGAAAGTTACGTAAATTGCACTCTCACGAACGTGGAAATGAAGCGAAAAAACGTGACCAATTTCTAATTTCGAAAGTGGAATTTAATTTTTAGATTTCTAGCGGAATAAAAAATTTACCTATTAATCCAGTTTTCTGGATGGATTCATGTTATCGAAAAAGCGCCGATCATAAATTGTTCTAGAAATTCGAAGAGCTTAAATGGCATCTATTTTTTTCTTCGATTTTTTTATGTTTACTTGCATTTATTACTCTTTTCCTATCTTAGAATGTTTTCCTATCTTAGAATGGCTATGTTCATATATTGTAAACATCAGTTCTACCTTTGTAGGGGTTGAATTTCTCGGGTTCTGTCAATGGTTAGAAAACGCTTTGCCTGTCGAAGATAGCTGTATTGTATTTTCAGGAGAATCGTGTACAACTTTGTACCCGAATTTCTGCAGCCCTTCTGGAATAATGGAAGCTTCCACCCTAAGCAGTGGGCTAATGAAGTGCAGAAGAATCTGACAGAGTTGCTGAGGTTTGCACCTGACCAGGCCAAGCAGCATTTTGTCGGTTAGTAATATTTGAAAGGATCAGAAGTTTGAGCCCCGAACATGGTTCTTGAAATATTTGCCTTAAATTTAAATATTGTTCAGCGATGTATATTTTAAAGGCAATGATAAATTGCTGATATTTAACGAATTAGTAAATTTGGGCGTTTCTGTCAATCAATTTCTGATAGTTTGGGTTTCGCTTACCTAAAAAAAATAAACGCAAATTGCTTGGCCTTTAAGTATGATTTAAGCATATTTGTAAGTGATTACACCGAAGACTTTAGTCAAGGTGTTATGGTATCGTGTAACGGGTTTTTTTTAATGTTGTCAAGTGTCGACAAATAACGTCCACAGTTATCAATTATCATGTGGGCTGGACTATATCGCGCTATGTCACGTGATTGCGTATGTTTGTTTCTTTATTTGTTCATCTTTATTTATTTAATTATCTGTTCTTCTATTTATTTAATTATGTTTAGTTTGCTTATATTTATTTATAATTTATGTATGTACATATTTATTTTTGTTTATTTTTATCACGTGTTTTGTTTATTTATTTAATTATTCTTTCTTTCATTTAGTTTTGCTTTTATTATTTCTGCGTGTGTATTTATTTAATTTATTTATTTTCATTTATTTATATTATGGGTCTGTTTGTTTGGTTATTTGTTCATATATTTTTTTTCATGTCTATTTAATTATTTGTACATTTCACTTTTGCTTTTATTTATTTCAAATCGTTCAAATGTACCTTGTTATATTTTTGATTGACTAGCAGTAGATGAGTTCTTTGTGATAATTTTCTTTGAATCTTTTTTGAAATTTACCATTACTGCATTTTATTCATTCTCTTAGAGGGTCACAGTTGACAATGCAGGTCACGTCGAAGAGTACGAGCATTTTGGACTACGTGTTTTAAGAATTTACAATCTGTTTTAATGTACGACCAATAAATTTTACACCTTATTTCTTAAAAAAAAACATTTTCAATTCTTCCCTTGCCATTCTGAACAGGTGGTTACAAAGTTTTAGCTAGTCACTGTATGATTTTCTGCCAGCAGCTCAACTGGTCTGTGTATACTTGTATTAGGTACACAGTTTTTTTTCAACTGCTGTGTATACTTGTATTAGGTACACTGTAGTTTCAATCAATTGATCTGTGTATACTTGTATTAGGTACACAGTTATTCTATTTCAACTTTTGTGTATACTTGTATTAGGTACACTGTAGTTTCAATCAACTGGTCTGTGTATACTTGTATTAGGTACAGTTTTTTTTCAACTGCTGTGTATACTTGTATTAGGTACACTGTAGTTTCAATCAACTGATCTGTGTATACTTGTATTAGGTACACAGTTATTCTATTTCAACTTTTGTGTATACTTGTATTAGGTACACTGTAGTTTCAATCAACTGGTCTGTGTATACTTGTATTAGGTACACAGTTTTTTTTCAACTGCTGTGTATACTTGTATTAGGTACACTGTAGTTTCAATCAACTGATCTGTGTATACTTGTATTAGGTACACAGTTTTTCTATTTCAACTGCTGTGTATACTTGTATTAGGTACACTATAGTTTCAATCAACTGGTCTGTGTATACTTGTATTAGGTACACAGTTTTTTTTCAACTGCTGTGTATACTTCTATTAGGTACACTGTAGTTTCAATCAACTGGTCTGTGTATACTTGTATTAGGTACACAGTTTTTCTATTTCAACTGCTGTGTATACTTGTATTAGGTACACTGTAGTTTCAATCAACTGATCGTGTATACTTGTATTAGGTACACAGTTTCTTTAGTTTAACTGATCTGTGTATACTTGTAATAGGTACACTGTAGTTTCAATTAACTGGTCTGTGTATACTTGTATTAGGTGTAAAACAGGAGGCGTTTTGCTACACATACAAACACAATCTTTTGTATTTTATTATAGCTATAGAAATTTATCTACAATGCGTAAGTACGACATTTAGTTCTACGATTGTTATTTCAGGTCCTTTGTCAATATTTCAGGCTCTTTGTCAATATAGCAAAATTTTGGTGTATATATGTGTTAGTAAGATTTTTAGTTCTACAACGTTTATTCAGGCTCTTTGTCGATATAGCAAAATATTGGTGTATACATGTGTTAGTACGATTTTAGCTCAAGAATTGTTATTTCAGGCTCTTCGTCAATATAGCAATATTTTAGCGTGTACATGTGTTATTACCATTTTTAGTTCTCGAACTGTTATTTTATGATCTATGTCAATATATCAAAATTTTAGTGTATACATGTGTTATTACGATTTTTAGTTCTCGAACTGTTATTTCATGATCTTTGTCAATATATCAAAATTTTATTGTATACATGTGTTAGTACCATTTTTAGTTCTCGAACTGTTATTCCATGATCTTTGTCAATATAGCAAAATTTTGGTGTATACATGTGTTAGAACGATTTTTAGCTCTAGAACTGTTATTCCATGATCTTTGTCAATATAGCAAAAATTTGACGTATACATGTGTTAGTACGATTTTTAGCTCTCGAACTGTTATTTCATGATCTTTGCCAATATAGCAAAAATTTGGTGTATACATGTGTTCGTACGATTTTTAGCTCACGAACTGTTATTTCAGGCTCTTTGTCAATATAGTAAAATTTTGGTGTATACATGTGTTAGTACGTTTTTTAGTTCTAGAAGTGTTATTTTATGATCTTCGTTGATATATCAAAAATTTAACCTATACATGTGTTAGTACGATTTTTAGTTCTAGAACTGTTATTTCAGGCTCTTTCTCGATATAGCAAAATTTTGGTGTATACATGTATTAGTACGATTTTTTGTTCTAGAACTGTTATTCTTCAATTATTAGTTGTTTGGTTTTTGCTTCAGTTTCTATGCCTTCGGTGTATTGCGCGTAGCGCCTATGTTATAAATTGTGTTCAAATGTGAAAATTCAGATTTTCATTTTTCTCTGTAAGCGCTTTCTTGACATTTTTTACCAAGGTATGGTGGCTTTTTTAAAATCAAGTGCAAATTGATCTTAACTGTTGCTGTTTGTACAGAACTGGTGTCTAACCTGGCGTTGTTTGGAGCTGCAATCTACCCGACTATCGCGACTGAGAATAATCGAGTTGCATTTGTTGCGGTCACAAAAGCCGGCATCAGTTGTCTCAACAAATCCAAGGTCAGTCGTTTGGCTCAACTATAATTTAGCACTCAATTTTGATAAAATAACCAGTTGGTTTTATGATCAGACTGAAATATTATATAAATGGGTTTACAATTTGACTAGTTACCAGATCCTTCTAAAAAAACTTTACATCAGTCTGAATGAACATATAGGTCTTCTGGAAGGGAGAAACAGGAATATATGAGCCGTTCCTTTAATCGTAGCAAACCTCTGTTAATACCTCTGCGAAGATCCACAAGTAATTTTAGGTTAATTTTGCGCTGTATCTATCTCTTGGTTTATTAGTTTTTCAACATTACTTGTTAGTTTAATATTTTTTTGTATACTGAACAAGAGAATTTGGAATAGAAAGAATTTGTTTAATTGAAAGAAGTTAAGGAAACTTGAAAGTTGGAAATTGAATAAGAACCGTAAGCTGTCTGGCTATGTTACTTTTTTATTTTCTGTAGGGCATTCCTGTGAATTTCATTGGGATGGAGAATATCCTGGACGTGCAGCCGATCAAAGACAAGTACAAGCAGTGCCTGATTGTCAAGCACGGCAACTTCATGCACCCATCCACTGACCGCATCAACTGCTCATACGTGAGTCATATTATTCGTTCTTCGGTTAATTGAGGTTTATCTAGTGTGAAAAGTGCAGATATAGATTTTCCGGATAAAATGAAAGCTACTTTAAAGTTGGCGCTGCGTGAAAAAAAAACGCCCCAGGACATAGTTCTCTAGATCCGTGGCTCTTTTAAGGTGACAATCATGTTGTCCTGATAATTTATGCCAGAACTGTTTTTTTTCACGCAAAATCGTGTAAGTCAAACAACACCTTTATCTATTTGAAGCTTGATTTCCATCAACTCCTGCTGTTCAAAAAATTGAAGACACTTATAAAAATCTGGTGGTTTTTGGCTGTTGTTTTTTCCAGATAAATTTGTTCATGCTCAAGTTGATCTTTCGCGGTTTGACTGCGAACTCTTTCAAGTGGAATTCTATTTCATTTACTAAAAGGACGGCGAATAGCGCTGATTATCATTTCGTTTCGAATGTGGATTTTAATTTTTTGTTTTATCAGTGGCCTTAAAAAATTTCCAATTGACTCAATTTTCTCGAATTTTAATGAAAAAAAAAAACGTCAATCTAAAAAGGTTTTGAAAATTGAAAGAGCTTCTACCCGATGGTTTTTCGAAATTCAAAAGTTGAAAAAATATTTGAATAAGTCTATTTTTCCCCCCGGTTTTTTGAGTTCATGGACACTTTTTTCCAACTTTCTGATAGCCTTGAACGCTCTGAATTGCGGCAAGGTAATGAAAAGTCGATGAATTTAATTCAGATTTTTATTACATATGCGTAGTGTATTATTACATGAATTTTTTTTCTAATACAAGCGCTCATTTGCTGGCATTTCTGGTATATTTCAATTTAATGATTTAAGTCTATTTCAGCATAGGCAATTTAATTGCATATTTTCTTGATTTATTTCTAGCTAGTGTTAGGTCCTGTTTGAAAACAAAACAAGCTTCATTAAAATGTATGGCACGTTGATTTTTTTTTGCGAAACTTTGAAAAAATTTCTGCCTTTTTTGCAGACATTTCAATTTTTCTGAAAAACTTCTGTACCGTTTTTTAATAAAAGATTTCAATGAACAAATCGGCTGCTCTTCTATGTGCCTGCTTAATTCGCTAGGCTTTCTGATCGCAAGGCGTTCTACTGTCATCGAAAGGGTCAGTAGGGGGATTGAGATTTTTGACCTTTGTTTTGACTTTTTGTTCATTTTCTCAAGTATTAATTGCTTAAATCTGAGATGAGATGATTCATTCAAAAGAACAAATCATTGGGATCTCAACTTTTGAAGCGCGGTTATGTCCCAAATTTGGTAGAAGAAAATCAGGATCTCAAGCAAGCTAATTTTTTGAACTTATTGCCTTATTCTGTGACCTTTTTGCCTTTTTTAAAAAAATTTCATGTTTATTCTCGGAAACTACTATCTAAATCTGATATTAAGTGTTCAGTCTCAAAATTAGGGTGTGAAAATGTTAACTGTGGAAGAGGGTTTTTCCCATGTTTTAGAGGAGAAAAATTCATGGCTGAAAGAAAAGTCAAATTTTTGATTTTTTGGTCGTTTTTTTGGAATATTTTTCATTTTTTTTTTCGAATTCTACCTTGCCTAATCTAAGATAGAATTCAATTAAAAGACCGAGTAGTAGTTTTTTACTTAATAAGCAGCTTATATCCTATTTCAGCAGAGAAATTACTAGGGTTTTGCGTAAAGTCCGTTTTTCTGAAGTTTTGAAAATAAGCATTTCGGTATCAGTACAATATAATGGTTAAAAACATTAAAACAGGACATCCAGCATTAGCTGGGTCACTAATCTGCTTCAAAGTGACTGTGACGCAGATGCAAACTGTGTTCCAATTAGCTTATTTGACTATGATTGTCGAATATGCTTAGTTTCTTCCTTTTTTCGTTCAGAACTTTTTATCACGCCAAACAGAAAAATACGACACCAATTTGATTGTTTTGGGTGTTTTTTTTTATGACTAAGGTCTCAACATTTGTGTTTTTCGCATAGTAACAGGCTATCCTTGTGTTTTTGGTATTTCATTTTTTTCCTTTTTCAGTTTTTGTCTGAATGTTTGTATATATGATATCTTGTCTCCGAAGTGCGTTGTATCTTTCAATTTGGTTATTTGTCGGTGTTTCAGTTGCTCGGAGAACTGCTTTTGGATAGACATAACTTTGCAGTTATGACGAAGTACATCAGCAGCGTCGAGAACCTGAAACAGATCATGAATTTGTTGAAAGACAATTCTCGCAGCATACAGTTAGCGCTAGAGCTCTGTATTGAGAATTCTAACTTTGCCGCATTCTGGTTGATCGAAAAATTGACTAACATAATCTACTTAACAATCTCCTTCCTTACTGAAAGGGGGGGATTGTTAAGTAGATCCACCTATTGATCTGGTTTTGTCTAAATGGTATATTTTTTGTCGGTTTCCTTGCCCTTTTACCTTTTTCCAGCTGTCTGTTGTCTGTGTTTTAAAAGTTCGTTGGTCCTCTTCAAAATACTCGTGTTCGCAAAGCTTTTTGAAATTTGCGCGTCCGAAAAACGTTTAAGCTCCAGCGTTATGTTATTAGCGGGATTAGATGGGCTATATAAAAAACAATGTTTACATAAATTATTTTAGGTTCACGAGGTTGCCAACTTTGTGCTTGGATATCGTCACAGATTGGGACTAACAATCAATAATTAATTCGAAGAGAAAAGAAATAGCGGAATACCACTACTGTATTTCAGCAACTAATAAGCAGCAAATAGTTTTCAAAGATAATCAGATGCTTCCTTACATGTGGGCGTAGTTAGATCACTATCTGTAAATAAGTACACAGATCACGCTAGCTTTATAGTTTTGCAGTTTCTATTCTATACAAATTTGTAATCTATGATCAGCAAACATATCACTTTATGTTGTAGAATTGTCTAATTGTAAATATTTGTAAATTTGATCTAAATGTTTGAAATCATAAATAAGATTGAATTCATCCTTTTACAATTGAATTTGTTGTTATAAAAATGAGCTTGTTTCTCGAAAAGTCGAAGATCTGCAAAAATTGGCTTTTGTGTGCAAAAATTCTTTGCCCACCGATGATTTTATGTTTGAAGTTTTCTTCATTTTACTTAGCTTGAATCACTTTATTTGTCATACACAACCCTGTTAAACAAGTGTTTACAGCATTAATTAAGTCTCAATGATCGAAGTGAAGACTCTTATTTAGGCATTGTTTTCTGGTATCTTTTCAGGATAAATTTGTTCAATCTCAAATTTGATTTTTCGTAGTTTTTTTTGCCTCAATTTCTATTGCTTTATGGAAGCCACTTTGCATCTCCATTAACTTTGAAAAAAGGAGAGAAAAACCCATAAACAAAGAAAATACTTGAAGGAGCTTTAAAACTCAAAATTTCTGAAATTAATGTCTTTTTTGGTTGACAGGATTGCATTGGGGCTTTTGCACCTGTCTGTTGGCTATCTCAGGGAAGTGGGAGATGATCATTTCTATGTGTGGGCATTAGTTATAGCTTGAGGATAGTTTTCGGTCTACAGAGCCTAGTCAAAATTAATTCAATACTTTTCAATAGAGAACATGAAACAAAAATTAATAAATTTTGAATGCTTCAAAGAGTTGGTTTTCGTGAGGGCGACCTAAAGGATTTCATAATTTTCAGTTAAAAAAAAAACAATGTAATGCTAAATTTCCTATTCAAATAAGCTGAAAACAACCAAAAAATAACAATTTTTGGCCCGAGTATTATTCTTCACTGAATCTTAACACAGGTAGAGTGAGTGGACCATATTCTTTCTTATGATCATAGCTGGCAGTGATCACACTTGGAACGTCTATGACTAACCTAATGTAAGCTCATTTGGTGTACACCATTGATCAGAAAGTTTGTAACATAAATACATGCAATGGAGATTTATAAAATCGAGTAGATAGTCTTTTCAAATTAGGTCAATAATTAATATCAACCCTGAAATCAATTATCGTTTCACTATATGGACCAAGTGAACAATTTTCCCTCTAAATCTATTTAGAGGAATTTTGTTCTTTTGGTTAAAAGTTTTCTTTTTCAGCCAATCAGATTTGAGCATAATTCATGCATGCAGGTCTTACGGCTTCAATTTATCTTTTAATTTGAGAGGGGGATTGTTCACATGGGCAAAACACGTAACAACTATTTTAAACAAACTTTGCCCTAATTTCTGTGCCATTTTCCCAGTAATACAGTAATGTGTTTCAATGAATTCTCAAAGGTAATTTACGAGCTCAGTTGTAGTGATTTATGTTCCGGAAACAAGTTCATTCTGACTTCGATTCCGAAAAAATTGAAGGATGAATCAAATTTTATAAACTGGTTTTTGTTTTTAATTGAAGCTACTTAATAGAAGGGTTGCTTTTTTACTCTGCTTTTCGGTTAAAAAAAAATATAAAACTTGATCTTTCGTTGTTTGGATTTTTGAGTTCAATGCAAATTTACTTGCCAAAAGGAAGTCAAATAGCGCTCTCTAATTTCAAAAGCACAAATGGCGTAAGGAAGGTGAATGAAGTCAGGTTTCTAAAAGATTTTAGTTTTAACAAATGCTAGCGGAATAATAGTTTTTCCGATTTTCTCAATTTGGGTTAGTTGTACGTTATCGGTAAGTAGACTTTTTCCCGTAAATAACTTTCTTACAAATCCACAAGAGTTTGAACTTGCTTTATTATTAAGAGTAAAATTTAAAGAGTTTTTCATGCTTTCAGCAAACAATTTTTTAATTTGTTTTCAAGTGTTTTTTTCGACCTAGTGATTTCCATTTTATATTCGCTAACTTGCAACGCTACGCTTGCGTTGTCTGCTAAGTGGTGCAAATCTCCGCTTCACCTCCGTTTTAATTTTATACAAGTAATACGCTACTCGGATTTCCCCTTCAAAAACTCTTTCATCCAACTTTCGTCCAAAATACTGTAACCGGGTTTTTCAGATAACAATGGAATATTACGCCTGATTTTCAGGTCAATCTGTCAAATGATGTAGATAGCAAAAAAAAAACAATAATTGATTGCATGTATTATGACTCCGCCGCTGTTGGCTCTTGTCACTTCAAAGACCACATACACTGTCGGAAGTCTCTCTGTGATTCTATTCACTGTATCTTATTACATCACGTACCCACCCATCGTTAGAGACAGGTGTGACAACATTCTGGTTGAAGCCAAGTACAAGCACGAGTACGAAGTTAGTCATTTTGGTGCAGAATTTCCAAAAGGAAGATCCTCGAAACAAAAGTCAATCAATCAGCAAGTATCTCATCTATCTAATCATAGCAATACAAGTGAATATGCTTCTGGGAATCATATTGTTCAATTTGAGCGGAAATGGATCACAGAAGGAAAACATGAGTTCAACATATTCCAAAATGACGTCATTGTTTTTCTGCATATACAGGTAATTGTTCTGAAATTTCATTCAGCCAAATTAATAGCATTTATTAGACCAAAGCGTGAATGCGTCGACGCTTGTGCTTTCGTACGTTGCTCATTAAATCTTTCTGAACCATGTCTTATTTTGACATAATGTTCCCGTTTGAACTGTTTTTAGTCGGGAGCTTTTTAGTTATCTCACGCGAATTTGCAAAAGTAAGGAATCTGAAATTGATAAGATACCAAATATGCATTTGTGATTGTTCCGACCACCTTTCAAGGAAACCCTGGGCATGGGTTTTCTCTCAATTTTGCTGCCGTCCAAGAAAGCTCGGAAAAAAATGAAGTGTGGCATCATAATTAAACCCAATCGAGATTTTGAATCCAAAAAAGTCGTGTCAGTGTCAAGAAAAACTGCTGTCAGTTTAAATTAGACGAAGTTTGATTAGAGGCTGATTCCCTATGCTTTTTCTATCTTTTTAATGTTATTGCAGCTATTATTGCTTCTCTTATATTCATTGTGTTCGGAATATTCTGTGCTTTTGGCTCTCCTTTGTACCCTTGCGATAGCCTTGTACTAGACTTTTTGTTTTCCCGTAAACAACTTTGTCCACAGGACTCATCTCTAGTGTACTTCTGGACTCATCGCAAGAGGTACCTTTTGAGCGTTTCCGGGCGACTTCAAATTCGCAGCGTTCCCAGCGCACTTAGCCTGGAGGTAACAAATTTGACTGGTACGGCAAAGGTCGTGGGTTCGAATCTGACCGGGACCAGTTTTTTTTTCAAAATATTCCGTTAAAAAATTTTCAAGTGAAACATGGTTTTTATGCTCGCATCTCGATTGCACATATTGGTAAAATCTTAATAAAAATTATAGTTCAAGTTTTTCATGACGTTTTTTTTCGGCGTTTTTTTGCCTTTATTGGTTTTGGCCTATAGTATATCAGCCTTATGGCCTCGTATTGCGTTTGTCTCCCAGCAAAAAAAAACATAATGTGTGCCTGTGTGTTATGAAGCTGAGGGGGACTTAATCATTTTTTATAATCTTGAAATTTTTGATTTTATTTTCGGATTTTTTCGTCTTAATTGGTTACGGCCTTTATTAAATCGGCTTAGTGGCCTCTTATTGTTTCATTTGATAAGCAATGAAAGTTTTTTGCTTGCGTGTGTTGAGGGCGAGGGGGACTTGTTTACTTTTTATAAGTCTTAAGTCTCGTTGATTTTTTTTCGGCCTTAAGGGTTTCTGCTAAGGTATTTTCGGCTTTGTCACTGCTTGGTAAATTTTTTCCCCTGCTAAATTTATTTTTAATTACTTTGGATAAATGTTGTATCGCAAGTGGTGCGAAGCTCAGCTTCGCCTCTGTGTTTAGTTATGCTCTTTCGAGTTGATAAGTCGAAATATCCAAACAATTTTCCGGAAGGGATTCCACTGAGCATAACTTTGCAATTTAACTCTCCTTCAGTTTAATTGGCATGCAATTAAATTTTTTCTGTTCTGCTTAGAAAACAGGTGGATCCGATTTCGATAGAATCCTAACTCGTCGAGTGGTGGGAGCTGAATGCGTGTGTAGACATGATAGGTCCTGTCAGTGCAATCGGCCGATGCGGCAGAGAAGCGATGAAGGTCATGGCACGTATTATCACTACGACTACCGACAAGTTAAGGTTGACTCGAGTTTTATGCATTCAATTGTGATTATGCTCAGCATTTCAATCGCACGGATTGATTCTATTGATATATATATATATTTTTCAAACACAACACATGAAGTGAAATATCGGTCTGAGAAAGTTCGTGTCGTCAAACTACACTTAAAACCGCGGCGTTTAAAATATATAGGTTTTGTTGTCAGATCTTTGAAATTTGTTAACTTGCCTACTAAGAAAGATAATTTAGCTTTACTTTGAAGCAGATTTTAATCTAAGATAAATTACAAAAATTTCTTTTTTGATGGCTGAACGATATCTATAAGCCTCTGAAAACAAAAGTAGGTATCAAAATAAACAAGGATAGGCCATTGATGTGAACGTATCACCGAATGCTTTTTCTGGCCACAATAACATGGAAAATTTTAAAAACATTTTTGTTTTATTTTTTCAAATTTTGATATTGTTTTTTTTTTCAAAAAGCGAATGGATTCGTCAAAGAAACTACAAAAATGAGATAATCGCTAAAATAATGCATAAATCCGAGTAGAAATAGAGTGATTGTTTCTCATCGTGTCGAAAAAACTCACATTTTTAAAATAAACTTGTTAACAATTATTTGTTAACAATTTTATTAACAATGAACTCATTTGAAATTTTTATATTGGCTGTAACATAATACCATACGTGATCTCCTTCGAGTTTTCTATGAGTTGCCTAAATTTTGAATAAAAAACTCCAGCTTATCTTTAGTTCCTTCTTTTTACTTCGGAACAAAAATATTTCACGGCTTGTATGGTTGGCGGCGAACGATAATTGGGGTTTTTATAAGTTATAAGATCATCGAATATGTTTTTGCTCTTTTCGGTTATACCACTATCTGTATTTTTTTATTACGCTTGCTTTTAGCAAGCGTTATCTAACCGGAATATAGATAGACTTTTCGGGTTAACAACTAGTTTAACAGAATTACTTGAATCATTTTACCTTGGTTTCATGTGAAATCAAAAGTCAGACAATAAATCGCGCATGTGCAAAGAGCTAACGCTTTTGCCTATAAATACAAAGGTCAATAGTTCGAATCCGGCCAGTACCTATTTTTTTGTTAGCTAAAAATTGCCCGAGCGTCAAAAATTCCTTGTCGGACTTCTGCTTGTCTGCTTTTTTTGTCGGCTTACTTGCCGCAGTACCAAAATTTTGGGCATGTGTTACTCAAATTTAAAAAACCAATTCAGCGTATTTCGGTTCTGGGCAACTAATTAAGTTCTAAGAAATTTTTTTGGCTTTTTAAAATTTTTTTTCATGCTGTTCATTAAAAATGTTTGAAACAAATCCCGGAAGTTCAATTCCAGTCGGGACCTGGTTTTGTGGAAGTTGAAAATTTTTGAAGCTTATAGACTTTCGTGTCTGCTATTTTTTGTCGGCTTAGCACCCGAAGAAAGGTTCGCCTTTATGTGTTAAAGATTCTGCTTGGTTGCAATTACAGTTTGTTGAAAGACAAAGCAAAAAATATAGATAAAATTTTCTCAGAGCTGAATAAACAAACTGCAAGACTCAAATTTTGAGATCTGTTCATAACACTTGCGAGAGCAAAAGCTTTATAATCCGGGACCAGACTTTTTTTTGATTAAACGGCTTTTCTCAAATTTAAGTTTTTTCGTATGTAATTCTTAATTATTACTTAGATTGAACTGAAAGAAGTGAGCTTTGATCATACCTAGAGTATGAAATTACAGCTCTGTTAAAAGTATGTTCATTTAAGCTGATTTTGATTAATTTAATTTTTTCTAAAGGAATTGTGACGTCCCTAAAAGATAACCTAACCGCTCATTGAAGCACCAGGAATATAAATATCTAGTAAGCAGTAGAATAATCTAAAACTAATAGCACTTTAGCTTGAAGGTATCATGAATCTGTATCGTAGAGGTAGGGAAGGATGCCCGCCACAAAATTAGAGGGTGCAAACCTGGTTAGGGTCGGATTTTTTAGTGAAATTTTTCATATACTAGCTAAAATACGGCCGCTCTATAAATTGAGGCATGTTAGTTGGTAATTTTTTTTTTTCAAATTGACTGCTAATGCGTCATAATTGGCTTGAAACACTTAGCAATTATGTAGACTCATACTTCGCGTGCGTCACTTAAGAATTTTTGTAGGCTCATAATTTTACTCATTCACTTTTTCCCAGTAGCGTTATCGGTCATATTTTTGATTGTGTATGCGAAATGCAACTTCGCCTCCGTGTCAAATTTTCTGCATTAAGAGCTTTGTTCAGGCTTAAATTTACTTTTTCGCGATTTAACTTTTGAGTTTTTGTTTTCAATTTCACTTATCTTTTTTTGTTGAACGAAAGGCAAATTTCACTAACGAACAGCAAAAGTATTAAGGTCACGGAAAAGGTGAATAGACCTCTAGTTTTTTTTAAGTGTATTTAAATGTTCAGATTTTCCAGAGTTCTTAAATTGGGTTAATTTGATCAAAAAGTGTCTACCATAAATTGTTTTTTTTTCTATTATTTTGCGTTCATTGACTCTTCCAACTGTCTGTTGGCTGTGTTTTAAATTATCACTAACAGATTTGTATAATTTAATTTCTATTTTCATCGGCTTATGATATCTGAGTTAAGTTGCCTCATGATACGGTTTTTGAAGGGAGAACATTTTTTTGTGCGTTATGATGCTTAAAAACCTTTCGAATGTTGAGTTAAGCTTTTTATAGTTCAAAGTTTTCTAAGACGGCTCAATGGTCGTCTGATCAAATATTGTCTGTTTAGTTACCGCTTTATAAATTTTGCTTGAATTCTTTTTTAACCATGGAGTTCTTAGACATGTTTTCCGCTAATTTAAGTCACTCAAAACTGAAACAAATGTATCAATTTTTTGTTTGACGTTTTTGCGACGCTTTCAAAAATTTTTGTGCCGGCGGCTTTCGTTCTATTTCCATCGCTGTTTCTAGTTGCCGTGCTATTTTCGCGTTGTATTGCAAGTAGTGCTAAACTCCCCTTCACAGCTGCGTATGAAGAATCAAATTCGAGGGTTTACGCGAAAAGTGCCATATTTTCTTGTGACTTGTTTTAGGATAGGATTACAGATGAAGATTATGGCAACCTTGAAGACTATGAAGAAGAAGGGGATAGTGAGGATGAGGATGAGGATGAGGACACGTGGCTGTTCACTCGCTCTTCAAACTTCGGCTGGAGCTGTGGTCTACACGCAGACTGGACCGAATTGACCTCCTGTGTGCCAGCCATGCTCAACAACAAACAGACCCTCAACCCACTCAGGTGTGCAGTCAGTATCAGGAGTGAATTTGAACTTGAATGAGATTCAAATCAGTGTACTCGGCATTACATAATTAGCGCAGGGGGTGGGGGTGGTCGAAAAATTAACGTAGGGGGAGGGGGAAGTTGGACATTTTTTTGAACAAAACAGGCGTTTTTATATGCGGAGGGAGTGGGGGTTCAAAAATATCAGGGGGTGCTGCAACTTTGGATCAATTCTAATAAATAATATGACAAAATTGAGCCTAAATGTTTCTTGAACATGACAATTGGCATCAATTGTTGTCGGAGGTTGAGCTCTGAAAAATGGCTTATTTTTACAGTATCGAGCTTGCAATCGTTGTGTATTAGTACAAATCTTCTTTTTTTCTGACCTAATTCGCAAAAGGAAGTGTTCGTCAAAAGTATTCACTTATTTGGTAGCTCTTTTGCGATAATCACGATCTGTAGCATTGGAAATTTCATAGCATCTATTCTCTGCTTTATTTGTGGTTAGTGTTTGTGATTAATTAAGTGTCCGTGGGTAGTGCGTGAGACTCATAATCTCTAGGTCGCAGCTCGAATCCGAGATGTAGCCGAGTTGTTTTTACTAATACGAGGCTTATTTCTACTTTTTCTTGTTGTAAGTTATAGAGCTGCTTTTTGTCGTGTTCTCGCTAGTTTTTGCTAAGCAAAGCTTCGCCTCTGTGTCTTAAGCTTGGCATATAAAAATTTTAGTGGGTTCGAATCAGACCCCCTCCCAAGTAAAAATCATAATAAGTTAGTCATTAATAAAAATTTACAAATAGAAACTGGAGTCTTATGGGAGAACACCATTACGACAACACGGCCCATTTTCAGGCGTCTCATTTAGCGGAGAACAAAAAATAATTAACTTTTTATATCCAATAGACCGTTCTACTGGTAAGCATTTTTATAACGTAAACATTTGTATTCCCTTCTTTCAACCCTTCTTAAAAAAAATGTTTCTTTTTTTCTTGGGTAGTCTTTTCTACCAGTAACCTTAAAACCAACAAAATTTTTTTTACATATTCAGCAAACCATTTCAAAGCATTTCCAATAAAGTAGTATTCCCTAGAATGTAATTATCCTAAAATTTATGATTAAAACTATTTAATTGATTCAGAGAAGCCGCTTTCAAAAAACTGACCCAGGCGAAAAAAAATTTTTTAAACAATTTTAACATTTTTCGAACTTAAGGTCTAATCGGCCCTCTGTTGAGTTTATTTATATGTATAAATAATTTTTGATTTGATTTTCTCCTTGATATATCGTGTTTAACTCTTGTTCAGTTATGGCACATCTCAAAAGATCATTTTGCCACTCTTGTCGAACAGTTTTCCCGGTTAATCTCAAGGTTTAATACGCAAAAATTTCTCTTGGGGTATATATTTTTATGCCTTAATTCAGTGATTGAATCCATCCTGCACTTTTTAAAAAAGTTTTTTTTTATAATGAATCTTCTGATTTTCAATTGCAATTCTAACAGTTTGGTTTTGTCGGTGTTAGCATAAACTGAAACTCCATATTGGATGGTTGCACATAACTTCTATAATTAACCTTTTTTTTCACCTGATCATTATTCTGATGAAAATTCATTTTGATATCGAGATGAATTGCATGATATCTGAAATATTCTACATCGTCTATTTGGGTGTCATTTAATAAATGTTTGACAGGTCTTTTTTTCAGATTTGGGCCCCACAGTGGCCCACGGTCTTGGCCAATTGATGTGCGAGAGCAATAGTGTCTTGTTTGTTTGTTTACTTCAGAACGGTGTCATAGGCATAGAAAAGTACCCCTTTGTTACCCGTGACTATTTGAAGATCGTTTATGTATAGTATGAATAAAAGTGGGCCAAGAATAGATCACTGAGGTACTCCAAAAGATACTAGTTTAAATTCGATATTAGAAGAGTTTGTCTCGATGTACTGATAACGAGTGTCAAGGTAAGATTCCAAAAATTTTAGCACGGGCCATCTGAATCCCATAAATTCCAATTTTATTGGCATGTTACAGTGACCAACTATATCAAAAGCCTTTGTGAGGTCTAAACATGTATTCTGAACAGTTAGGTTTTTGCTCTTAGCGACGTTGAAACCTCTTCTAACAGTGTAAGGATGGCGTCAACACTGTTCATTTTTGATCTGAATTGTCTTTTGTTATTTTTGTCCACATATGATTGGGCTCGTCTGAATCGCTTAAAATTTTTTCGTAGAACTGGTAGAAGCGAAATTGGTCTATAGTCTGATTAGTCCTTTGCATTTTTTCAACAGTTAGGATAGATTCCTAAGGTGTAGCAGTTATTGAAAATTTATTAGAGGACCTGCTAAAATAATTTCAAATTGTTTGACGAGAGGGGTCAGTATTCTAGGGGGTGGGGTAGTCATTATTCAAATATGGAGGTGTCAATAATTTTGAAGATAGGGTCTCTGAAGAAATCGATTTGTGTTGCAGGGGTCGCGAGAATTAAGTAGTGCATCGTATCATAAAAATAGTATACCTTATAGTTGTATACGATGAAAATCGTATTTTGTAAAGCGTATTTTATATCTGGTTGTGTATTGCATAAATTGGGGTCCCGCTTTTTTTTTCAATCTCATCAACGCAAAATATCAAATAAGATTTTGCAAGTTTAACGCATAATTTTTTTTCCTGGGACCCATCAACCAAATAAATGTTTCCAATTTTAGGCACACATTTTCTCCATGGACCCATCAACATTTTATTAGTCCTAACTACTGCACTATTGCCGCGTTTTTGAATAGGGTTTGAAAGAATTTTATCAATGATTGTTTGATTTTCTTGTGTTTCCTGCTTTTTTTGCAAAGTATGCCCAGCTCTGCTTGGCTTCTGAAGATAATCATGGAATTATTTGTGTTGTGTTAATCGAGTGAGTTTGATCCAGGCGCTTCTTCTATGTGACTGTTTTGCGAGATCCCCTCACGAGATTTCTAAGTGAGTGGAGACATGTGCAGCGAGGCGCCACTTGGAAGAGATCGAACCACATGTGCAACTCACAGCCACATGAAATACGCAGCTGCTACGAGGGTAAATGTTGTTGTTGTTTGCTTACCTACGCGATTCACGGATTTTCGGAGGGGGATTTGTTTATTGGACCTTTTTTCTAAGTCGACTGACGTTTTCTATTGATGTTAGAATTCTCTCAAAACGCTAGAAATAAATTTTTTTGGTCTATATATTGTTTGCGATTGGCAAATGCTAGAAAAAAAGGGCTAAAGGGCTGGTTTTGCAACAATTTCGTGAATGTAGTTTTTCTAAAAATTTACAAAGATCTTGCCTTTTAGATCTTGAACCTGTCTGTAAGACATTCGGCTACATTCAAAAATTGGATAATTGCTAATATTTTTGTTCTGATCTTTCGAAAATTTCCTGGCGTAATTTTAAGGCGAAGAATGGAGTGGAGTGTCCCTTGACGAATTCATCAGCTGTCGTTGGAATCTGGCGTTCAACAGACAGACTCGGATGCTAGCAGATCTCTCACTCGTCAACTGCTACGAGTTCATCACCTACCAATACAATACTACTAATCTCAATAGTCTATCATCACCTGATAGAGAAAGACTGAAAGTTCTGGAGCATAAAATGCTGGAAAGCGCTAAGAGTAATTTGAAGCGGTTGGCGTTTTTTGCAATTTTGGGACGAAGCTCGGAGTCGCATAGTCTTATAAGTGCAAGTTTGGGCTTACACTTTCATGAAGGAGCCTTTGGTACTCGGACTCCGAAAAGTGAAAATGTTCAGTTGGAAGATGGAGTGAAGAAACGAATTCTCATGCTGAACTATTTAGATAGCGAACTGTTCAACTTTGCAACCGAGATTTTTAACGAGAGATTAAAACTGCTAGAAACAAGCTAATTTTATATCTGAAGTTCTGTCTATATTTTTTACTGTGTGTTGTGAATTAGCATAAATTAGCATTTGTGATTAGAGATTAACTTGTTGAAAAATTACTTTAATTTAGTAAATTTGAAACTATGATTCAAAATGGTTTGCGACAACATTTGAGACACGGCTAGGCAGAAATTGTAGTCGAGCTTACAGCCAGGTCTATTTTAAACCGTACAAAGAACTGAAAGGTTAGATTTCAAATTAGTTTTAAACCTATCTATTATATATTTAAATGCGGGCCTCACTATCTCGCTATGCTTATGGTTTTTCAACGTATTGTTTTTGCATGTTTTACGAAGGAAATTTTGCACGTTTAAGTTATATCGTACATTGCAATGGTCAAGAACTTTTGTTTTTCGATTTTCCTGCTTGAATTCTGTGTTTTTTTCATTCGAAATTAGCAACCCTAAAGTAGGATGCTGTCAGGGTTACCCTAGGGTTGCAAATGGGGCCTCCAAATGTGAATACCCAAATTTGTTTGAATTATGAGATACGAAGATTCTGGTGATTAAAAAAAAATCTCAACACTTAGATATAAAAGTTCCACTAAAACTCTCAAATTTCAAAACTAATTACGGTGGATTTTGAATCTTATTTATGAACTTGATGATTTTACAATTGAAATCGTTTCATTTTGTTTAATTGAACGATGCAGTTGTATGCTGTCGCCTATCTAAGGTTTTTGTTTACGAAGATCTGAGACCCATTTGTTTTGGATTTTATACAATTTTAGTTTATTAAACCTTATATTAAAATATATTTTTATCGTTCAAATTTTGAATTGAAAAGCTTTGTTGGATTCCGCCGTCTTTTTACGGCTGCATTCCTTCGTTTTTTTTTGTTTCAAACATAAGCAATTTTCATGCTCAATAATCTGTTTGAAACACCGGAGGTGCGTTACAATTACCAGATAACTTACGTTTATTTTGATTAATTAACTCATAAATAGTTGTAAATAGCATTTTGAGTTGTGCTGTTAATAGTACTGTTGCATTTTGATAGTTTTGGAACAATACAATTTCAATTATACTCCTTCTGTCGAGCTGGGCTTTTTTCGATAATCATTTCCTATGAGAAAAGTGTATTTTTTCAGTACAAACCAATTTTTTTCATTTAAATTCACTGTTTTTTTTGTGTTCCGTTTAGTTGATGTTATACAGTTCAAAGTCTCTTCGGCGATAAAATTTTTTTTTGTGTGTCAGTTCATTTAGTGAGGACGGTTAAAAGGTCGTGATTCTTTTTGTCGTTTTTTATTCTGAAAGCTTGAAAATTTTCAAGCTCTAACTTGATTTTTAGTGGTTTGTACTTTGATTTAGTCGTAAATTCAGATTACTTCCTAGTTCAGATTAAAAGGAAGGCAAGCTCCATTATCGAGCAGCAAACGGATAATAATCACAAAAAAGCTGAACTTTTTTCATTTTTGAAAGTGGTTTCGAATTTTTAAATTTCTTGTGGAAAAAAATTGTTGATCCCGTTTTCTGAAATTGAGTTTATTCCATCAAAACAGGATCTATCATAAACTGTTTACAAATCTCGAAGAACTGCAAAAGTTTGAATTTTTTCTTAGAAACGCGCATGTTGCTGTTCTCTTGCGTTTAGTGACTTATATAGGTCTCGGTAATTTTTTCTGTTTGTTTTTTTTTCAAGAAAAAATACACAAAAGTTTGATTTTTTCTGCGGTTGGAATTTTGATTTTTTTTTTCATGTTCACATCATTTCCTTCGTTGAAAGGAAGGCCAACTTCACTATCGAACACCACAAAATTGAAGTTCACAAAAAAGTGATCGACTTCTAGTTTAGAAAGTGGATATGAATTTTCAGGTTTCCCAGCGTAATGAAAAACTTATCTAATGATCCAACTTTCCCTAATTAAGTTAATTTTATCCTAAATTGTTCCTGAAATTCGAAAAAATTTAAAGACACATGTTTTTCGAAAATTGATTTTTTTTTCTAAAAAACAAGTCTGTTTTTCTTTCAGTTTATTTGCGCTCATCACTATTTTCCGAAACGTCTGTAGGCTATGTATAAATTGTGTACATAGATGTTTCGTGATTATTAGTCGGGTAAGTCATTTCATAACGAGGTCTAAGTGGGCGTGTGGTTCGCGATGCTCATTTTTTACTATCTATCTATATCTATATCTATAAATGTTAAAAAACTCCAATACGTTGAAGATCTCAGTCTTGTTGTTGGATTTTGTGAGGGTACTCTCAGGGGTTGCGAATCTTGCCTCCAATTATGGCTGCTCAAATCCTAGTAGTTTTCGAGATATGACGTTTTTTTAGGATACATAAAAAATCACAAAATTTGATATTCCCATCTCAGTGGTGAGGCTCCGTCAGGGTACTCTCAGGAGTTGCAATTTTTGCCTCCAAATATTACTGCTCAAATCCTTGTACTTTTTGAGATATGACGTTTTTTATGACTTTTTCAAAAAGTTTGCAAAAACTTAGATGTTGAAAAATTCTCAAACTTTGAAAATCGCAATACTGTTATCGGAATCTAAAGTGAAATTCCCAAACTTCTTGTTTTGTGCTGTCAGAGTACTTTCAAAGATTGCTATTATTGCCATCTATTAAGATTGCTCAAATCTTGATAGTTTATTTGATTTTCATGTGTTTCCTGATTCTTTTGCAAAGTATGCACAGCTCTGCTTGGCTTCTGAAGATAATCGTGGAATTATTTGTGTTGTGTTAATCGAGTGAGTTTGATCCAGGCGCTTCTTCTATGTGTCTGTTTTGCGAGATCCCCTCACGAAATTTCTAAGTGAGTGGAGACATGTGCAGCGAAGCGCCACTTGGAAGAGATCGAACCACATGTGCAACTCACAGCCACATGAAATACGCAGCTGCTACGAGGGTAAATGTTGTTGTTGTTTGCTTACCTACGCGATTCACGGATTTTCGGAGGGGGATTTGTTTATTGGACCTTTTTTCTAAGTCGACTGACGTTTTCTATTGATGTTAGAATTCTCTCAAAACGCTAGAAATAAATTTTTTTGGTCTATATATTGTTTGCGATTGGCGAATGCTAGAAAAAATAAGTAATGGATACATTTTTAGGTTCTCTTGAGAGAATTGAAATAAATGTTCCGTTTTGTTTTTCGCGCTCTTCTTCAAAATATGTTTCAGAAAAAATCAGTCTTGGTAAGTCAAAAAATGAATGTTTCAATGTGAACTTAGTTGTTTCAATTTTCCGTTTTATCATTAAAGGGCTAGTTTTGAAACAATTTCTTGAATGCAGTTTTTCTAAAAATATACAGGGATCTTGCCTATCAAATCTTGAACCTGTCTGTAAGACATTCGGCTACATTCAAAAATTGGATCATTGCTAATATTTTTGTTCTGATCTTTCGAAAATTTCCTGGCGTAATTTTAAGGCGAAGAATGGAGTGGAGTGTCCCTTGACGAATTCATCAGCTATCGTTGGAATCTGGCATTCAACAGACAGACTCGGATGCTAGCAGATCTCTCACTCGTCAACTGCTACGAGTTCATCACCTACCAATACAATACTACTAATCTCAATAGTCTATCATCACCTGATAGAGAAAGACTGAAAGTTCTGGAGCATACAATGCTGGAAAGCTCTAAGAGTAATTTGAAGCGATTGGCGTTTCTTGCAATTTTGGGACGAAGCTCGGAGTCGCATAGTCTTATAAGTGCAAGTTTGGGCTTACACTTTCATGAAGGAGCCTTTGGTACTCGGACTCCGAAAAGTGGAATTGTTCAGTTGGAAGATGGAGTGAGGAAACGAATTCTCATGCTGAACTATTTAGATAGCGAACTGTTCAACTTTGCAACCGCGATTTTTAACGAGAGATTAAAACTGCTAGAAACAAGCTAATTTTATAATGAAGTTCTGTCTTTATTTTTTACTGTGTGTTGTGAATTAGCATAAATTAGCATTTGTGATTAGAGATTAACTTGTTGAAAAATAACTTTAAATTTAGTAAATTTGAAACTATGATTCAAAATGGTTTGCGACAACATTTGAGACACAGCTAGGCAGAAATTGTAGTCGAGCTTACAGCCAGGTCTATTTTAAACCGTACAAAGAACTGAAAGGTTAGATTTCAAATTAGTTTTAAACCTATTTATTAGATATTTAAATGCGGGCCTCACTATCTCGCCATGCTCAAGGTTTTTCCACGTATTGTTTTTGCAAGTTTTACGAAGGAAATTTTGCACGTTTAAGTTATATCGTACATTGCAATGGTCAAGAAATTTTGTTTTTTGATTTTCCTGTTTGAATTCAGTGTTTTTTTCATTCGCAATTAGCAACCCTAAAGTAGGATGCTGTCAGGGTTACCCTAGGGTTGCAAATGGGGCCTCCAAATGTGATTACTCAAATTTGTTTGAATTATGAGATACGAAGATTCTGGTGATTTAAAAAAAAAATCTCAACACTTAGATATAAAAGTTCCACTAAAATTCTCAAATTTCAAAACTATTTACGGTGGATTTTGAATCTTATTTCTGAAATTGATGGTTTTACTTTTGAAATCGTTTCATTTTGTTTAATTGAACGATGCAGTTGTGTGCTGTCGCCTATCTAAGTTTTTGTTTACGAAGATCTGAGACCCATTTGCTTTGGATTTTATACAATTTTAGTTTATTAAACCTTATGTTAAAATTTATTTTTATCGTTCAAATTTTGACTTCAAATGCTTTGTTTGATTCCGCCGTCTTTTTACGGCTGCATTCTCTTCGTTTTTTTTCCATATGTTTCAAACATAAGCAATTTTTATGCTCAATAATCTGTTTGAAACACCGGAGGTGTGTTACAATTACCAGATAACTTACGTTTATTTTGATTAATTAACTCATAAATAGTTGTAAATAGCATTTTGAGTTGTGCTGTTAATAGTACTGTTGCATTTTGATAGTTTTGGAACAATACAATTTCAAATATACTCCTTCTGTCGAGCTGGGCTTTTTTCGATAATCATTTCCTATGAGAAAAGTGTATTTTTTCAGTACAAACCCATTTTTTTCAACTAAATTCAGTGTTTTTTTGTGTTCCGTTTAGTTGATGTTATACAGTTCAAAGTCTGGTCGGCGATAAAAAATTTGTTTTTTTTTGTGTGTCAGTTCATTTAGTGAGGACGGTTCAAAGGTCATGATTCTTTTTGTCGTTTGTTATTCTGAAAGCTTAAAAATTTTTCAAGCTCTAACTTGATTTTAAGTGGTTTGTAATTTGATTAAGTCGTAATTTCAGATTACTTCCTAGTTCAGATTAAAAGAAAGGCAAGCTCCATTATCGAGCAGCAAAGGGATAATAATCACAAAAAAGCTGAACGTTTTTCTTTTTTGAAAGTGGTTTCGAATTTTTAAATTTCTTGTGGAAAAAAAATTGTTGATCCCGTTTTCTGAAATTGAGTTTATTCCATCAAAACAGGATCTATCATAAACTGTTCACAAATCTCCACGAACTGCTTAGAAACTCGCACGTTGCTGTTCTCCTGCGTTTAGTGGCTATATTCTTCTCTATTTATGTATTTATTAAGACTTATATAGGTCTCGGTGATTTTTTCTGTTTGTTTTTTTTTTCAAGAAAAAATACACTAAAATTTGATTTTTTCTGCGGTTGGAATTTTGATTTTTTTCATGTTCACATCATTTCCTTCGTTGAAAGGAAGGCCAACTTCACTATCGAACACCACAAAATTGAAGTTCACAAAAATCTGATCGATTTCTAGTTTAGAAAGTGGATTGGAATTTTCAGGTTTCCCAGCGTAATGAAAAACTTATCTATTGATTCAACTTTCCCTAATTAAGTTAATTTTATCCTTAATTGTTCCTGAAACTCGAAAAAATTTAAAGACACATGTTTTTCGTAAATTGAATTTTTTTTCTAAAAAACAAGTCTGTTTTTCTTTCAGTTTATTTGCGCTCATCACTATTTTCCGAAATGTCTGTAGGCTATGTATAAATTGTGTACATAGATGTTTCGTAATTATTAGTCGAGTAAGTCATTTCATAACGAGGTCTAAGTGGGCGTGTGGTTCGCGATGCTCATTTTTTACTATCTATCTATATCTATATCTATACTGTATTTAAATGCTAGTGACAGCTATCTCCCATGTTTAAGCATAATAATTTTGCATGTTTAACGAAAGAATTTTTTCATGTTTAAGCTATATCGTATATTGCAATGCTTAAGAAAATTGAGGCGAAATTAAGTCTGTCTGTCTGTCTGTCTGTATACCTGCTTTTTTAAATTAATTTGATTATGTCTGTCTACCCGTCTCCTAACTTGTTTTCAAACTTTCTTCTGTCAAATTTGTTATCTATTATATATTTAAATGCGGGCTTCACCATCTCGCCATGTTTAAGCTTTTTCAACGTATTTTTTTTGCATCTTTAACAGAAGAATTTTTTCACATTAAGCTATATCGTATATTGCAATGGTTAAGGTTTTTTTTTATTTTCCCGTTTAAATTCAGTTTTTATTTCAACAAGTCTGTAATTAGCAACGCAATAGTTGGATGTTGTCAGAGTTTTCCCATGTTTTTGCGATTCTGGCCTCCATATATGAATCACCAAATTTTTGTAGTTTTCGAGATGTGACGTTTTTTATGATTTTTTCGAAAGTTTTTCAAAACTCTAGATGTTAAAAATTCCGATACGTTGAAGATCTCAGTCTTGTTGTTGGATTTTGTGAGGGTACTCTCAGGGGTTGCGAATCTTGCCTCCAATTATGGCTGCTCAAATCCTAGTAGTTTTCGAGATATGACGTTTTTTTTAGGATACATTAAAAAAATCACAAAATTTGATATTCCCATCTCAGTGGTGAGGCTCTGTCAGGGTACTCTCAGGAGTTGCGATTTTTGCCTCCAAATATTACTGCTTAAATCTTTGTACTTTTTGAGATATGACGTTTTTTATGACTTTTTCAAAAAGTTTTCAAAAACTTAGATGTTAAAAAATTCTCAAACTTTGAAAATCGCAATACTGTTATCGGAATCTGTGAGGGTACTCTCATGGGATTGCAATTCTTGCCTCTGAATATGTCTGCTCCAAGTCTTGTTGTTTTCGAGATACGACGGTTTTTAGGATTTTCTCAAAATTTTTCAGAGAACTTGGGTATACATTTTTTTTATAAAATTTGAAATTACCATCTCTCAAGTGAGGCTATTCCAAGGTAATCGCAGGAGTTGTGAATTTTGCTTTCAAATATGACTGCTCAAAATTTTGCAGCTTTCAAGATATGACTTTTTTTGTGATTTTTTTTTTATTTATGAAAAGTAAATTAGTTTTCTTTTCAAAGTTTGAAATTCCTAACCTGTAGTTGGGGGCTGTCAGAGTAATCCAATTAAGAAAGCTCTAATGTTTTTAGTTTAAGAGATACGACAATTTTTGTGATTTTTTTTGGAAATTTTCAGAAAACTCAAATTACAAAATAGTTCACTGAAGTGAAATTCCCAACCCTGTAGTTGTGTGCTGTCGGAGTACTTTCAAAGATTGCCATCATTGCCATCTATTAAGACTGCTCAAATCTTGATAGTTTTCGAGATGTGAAATTTTTCTGGTTTTCAAATCGAAATACCTCTTTTTAGAAAACTTAAGGTGAAGTTTCTCAAAATTTGAATTTCACAACGTTGTAGTTGGGCACTGTAAGAGTGCTCTCAGGAGTTGTAAATCTTGCTTCCAAATGCGACTGCTCAAGTGCATTAGCTTCCCAGATGTGACGTTTCTTAATTCATTTTAAATTTTTCGAAGAACTTATATAAAACTTTGCAAAATTTGTAATTACGAACCCTGTAATTGGGTGCTGTCAAAGCACACTCAAAAAATGCAGATCTTATTTCCAATATATGCGGTTTATCATGAGTACCGGAGGTGCGTTTTACGCTAGTCATTTAGATTTTCTAGCATTTCTTAGTTGAAAACGCTTGTTTTTGTTACAGCCCGCTTTCTAAGTTAATCCATTGAACCTACTTTTTTTAATTGGGAAGGTTATATCTAAATAGTGTCAATGATAAAAGATTTTCGATATTCAACAAGCTATATGGTAAAACTTTTTTTCCAACTGAATAGTTCAAAACCTGTTCAATTTCGATGCAAGGTTGATTGAAGCAGAGTCAAGTTGAATTAATTTTATTGCAGAAGTATGAATTTCAAGTCTTGGAACTGCTTGAATATTTAGACTTGTTTGTTTTCGGTTTGAGGCTTGACTCTTATCTACATTTTGCCATAACTGAAACTCCTTGTCCTTCTTGTTGCCTTTTTTGTATAATAAGTTGGGCACAATTTACGTCACTGAGCTCATGCTTTTAAGTAGGAACCATGTTTGTCCGTTGAAACTTGCAAGGTGTTGCTGTTGTTGAGTGTGTGTGTGTGTTGAGCTTGATGGATGTCTAGTCGTCGTCGTTTCTGTTCAATATCGGGGGGTTTAATTTGTCCAGGAGTTGTAGCCATATTTCTAGGGCTTTTCTCGGGTTGGTGGTCATCGTATAGAGGTTCTAATTTTCTGGATAGTGGTTCCTCATGGCTATTGTTGATGTCAATTGCGGGTGGTCTACGAGAAATAATTTCAGTTTGCAGTTGCATGTCAGTGATTTATTTTAGTATTATGACTTCGATTTGTAAAATTTGGATTGACTTTGGAGTGGCCACTAATATTTGTCCTCTAAAAATATTAATGGTTTTGTTTTTTTTTCGCTTATTTTTGCTGAGGTATATGAATTGTTCTATTTTGCTGTGGAAGGCAGACTCGTGATCATATAATTTGTAACTATTGTCAGAAAGTTAAGAGCTCAATATTTATTTTTTTTGTCATTTTAGGGTGGTTGCACATGCAATAGTCTGTATTGCAGCAATTGGATTGTTTGTTTTTTCAAG